GAAGAGCGAAGAGGTGTGCAGCAGGTTGCTTTCCATCCAGCCCCAAACACAATGCAGAGTGCACTTCAATGCTACGCAATAAACTTTTGTTCTCAAACATCCCTGCATGGATACCTGGTGTGAACCATAACTCTGCACTAGGCTTGGCAGGGGGACTGGGGAAAAAATCAACACAAGAATTCATGAAAGGGGCAAAAGAAACTTGCTTTTGGTACCACGGGAAGTCCAGCATCCAAGCTGTAGCCGCCGTCACCACTGCCTGTGCATTGACTGCTTGAGAGCAGCAAGACAACAGGGAAAAGCCATTGCAGTGCCATTGGTATGGATGCATTGACCACACGCAGCAAGTGCTCCTGGAGCGACCGCACCGCCAACATCTCTGAATCAGTACCGGAATTCGATGTCCAGTGGAGGACAGTATGGTATATATGGGCTTCATCTCATTGGAATCGGCTGCAGTTGCGTGCGTGTGGTGGTGCGAAAAGCGAGGGTGATGCACTAGCTCAAGCTGTGTGCCAGCTGTGGCTGCTCACTTACTGTAAGCTGCTGCCTGGGCTCCGCAGGTTCGGCAGATTGGGCTCTACTCCAGCTCTAGTCACAACGCAGAGTTTATTTGCGACCTTCCTCTGCATACGGTAGCACACACGGCTGCTAAACTTCGGTGTCCAAGTACGTAGAGAGACTCCATCTACAGTACGGTAGATCGGGTTTGAGGCACCTGAATGTCAGCTACGACATATGGCTGCAATTGAAGAAATTAGCGTTGATCCGGTTTTGTTCGTGGCTAGGTCCAACGCATCCAGATCAGCGTTCAACTGCTGCGTCACTTTTGCCTGTAGACACTGCAATACGAGTAGCTTATGCTGCTGGTGAGTAAGCAGCCCTACTCAGAGAGTGCCGCCCTCTATTCAGGGGCTACGTGCAATGGAAGCGCTGCGTCTCATCAAGTGTGCGCCACGCAGGCAGCCGCTTCATCTTACTGCGTGTGAGCGTTGTCCTGTTGGTGCGCGCTAGTGTAGCAGCGGCATGTGCTGGAGACATAGGCCAGTGTCAAGAAACGCCTCAGAGCCGCCCGCTTCATGGACCTGCCGCCGCTGCGGCCTGAGCACCTCGCGCCCCGACGCCTAGCTTTTCGGCTGGACGAGGTGGCACTGGTGCCTGGGGACATGACACATGCGGTGAGCGTTCAACGGGGTGGAGGGTTGAGTGCTCCCCTCTTCGTCCATTCACCATGTGCGACGCGCGCCGTGGTGCGCAGCTGCAAACGCGAAAGGCGATTGGCAATCTCACCTGCTCCATGAAAAAGCGTGATGCAGCACGCGCAGTTGACCATGGCACATTAGCAGCAGGATGCTGCAAAAATAGATCGCGCACTGCAGAGCATCCAAAACTGTCGCATTGCATTCCCGGCTCATCGCGCATTGACCCGCCCAACCTCGCAGCAGCTCCCTGCGATCGACTGCATCAGCAGCCGCGACCCACTGGATGCGGCCGTTGCGCCTCGGCGCGATGGTTACAACGGCCGCCCTCGGCCCCGCGCGGCAGCATCTGCGGCGTCTGTCACAGCAGGGGCTTCGGGTGTAGTGTGTGGCCATCTTGCAGCCGCTGCCCGTGGCCAGCGCAGCGGGGTGTGAATCGTGCATTACTTACTGCTTTTGCTGTCCCAGAAGACTCCGTATCCCCCCTACCAGAGGAGAAGGAGCTGTCCCCGCTGTTCTTCTTACAGCAGGCGCACCCAGGACTTGGCAGAGCCACTGGCGGGGGGGGGGGGGCATCAAGGTACCATTCAATTTGCATGTGGATGAGGTGACACGGCGTTATCAAGTCAACTCCTGGACCAAGGGGCATCAGGCAGCCTGGGCTGGTCCCCACCCCACCCCAGCGCTGCACAGCCTGTCCCTGCCCTGATCTTGCCCTGCAACGCGCAGCTGCTGGTGCATTTATTGGTGGCGCAACCTGAGAAGTCAGTTTTTCCTGCATGTGATGCACATTTTGTCCTTGTAACATGCAAACAAACCCCCAACCCGCCCATGCCAACCCAATGGCCAGGCCCCGGACTAGCTTCAGTCGTGCATAGTTGCCGAACGGCGCGCCGTCCAATGGCGACGCAGTCCCGCCTGCTTTCTCTGGGCACGGAGTAGTGCGTCTGGGTGATCAAGCACTGCCCCCAGCACCAGCTCAGGGCCAAGGCGCCCTCGCTGCTGAAGCGGCTTCGGTCGGCCAGGCGGGGCGGGGCAGGGACATCGCCAACCCAAGGTTGCCCTTGGCTAGAGGAGGGGCAGGATTTGGGGATCCGATGGTGCGGCCGCAGGCGGGGAACCTTTCAACATATTACGGCCGGCAGAGCAGGCCGGCGTTGGCATGCGAGGGGTGGAGGGCGAGTGTTGCTGGTGGCTCGGTCAGTCGCCGAGTTGGCCGGGTCGGCAACAACCGCTGTTGAGCCTTGCGCACCCCGCCCCCCCTGTTTTGCAATTCAGTTGCAGGGAGCGTGAGTCCTCGCAGGCCGCCCTCCCATCCGACCGTCCTATCATGAGCCACTCGCGCCCCCTGGCTGCTGGAGCTGCAGAGCTCCACTTCTGGCGCCGCCTGCGCCGCCGCCGCTAGGCTCGTCGGCCGCAAGCAGCACGCCGATGGGGCTGGGGCCGGCCTACACTGTGGCGGCAAGCGGCGCTCGTCGCTGCTGGCAGCCGGCTGCGTTGCCAACCAGGAAGACGGCAAGCGGGTGCTACATGGAGAAGGCAAGGTGAGCCCGAAGCCGGAGAGGGGCCGCTGCATCCTGGCCGCGGGCGGAGGTGGCTGCATTGCTCAGGTCCTCGGTTGATTAAGCAGTGTGGATTGCTTATCATTGGCACAGTGCACTGTGGGAATCCTGGCTTTGTGATGCGCCGGGCAAGATACAGCTGCCAGCCAAACACAAACATGCACGCTGGCCTGCACGCGTTCGCTGCTGCGCGCGCGCGCACACACACACACACACACACTCACACACTCACACACACGCACATATATGCGCGCGTGCACTCACAGAACCCTTGCCGATTGCATCTCGGATATGCGTTCCCCCTGTGCTTCATTGCCTGTCAAGAGCCCAGCAGCGGCGCACCCTGCTGCCATGCCCACTGCCTCCCCCCTGCCTCACAAGGACATGACCAACTGTCCCGATGCTGCGCAGCTCTGTTTATGGATGTGATTTTCGCACTTGCTGCGTGGCTTTTTATTCGGAAGTTTCAATGATGCCGCCCGTCCTCCGCACGCTCTGCTGCTGTGCCTGGACCGCCACCTCGCAAAGGCTGGCGTATTGGCGCTCGCCGTCGAATGCCTTGAACGCGGGGGTGCTGTCGGCCTTGGACAAGCAAGTATTAAGCCAATCCAGCCTACATCGGCATTGCGGATTGAACGGGCTGCACATGCCTCAACAAGTGAAGTTTAGGTGATGACGCAGAGGTGGCGGCGGCGGCGGTCGAGGACGTGGCCTGCTTGTATGAGTTGCCAAGGCGCTGCGGCTACCTGACAGGAGTCACGCAGAGAGAGGCCAAACAGCTGGTGGCGGCAGCGATGCGAAGCGCGCCTTCCGTGGACACAGTGGTTTGGCGCTGAGAGTAACGCAGATAGGTGCGAGCAGCATATACAGCTATGGTGCAGTAGCACGGCGCGCTTTCCGTGCCACATGCGAGCACGCCGTGCCATTGAATTTTGTGTTTCGAGGTTTTTTGTCACTTGTCATCAGGCAAGTCAGCATCCCATATTAGTTATCAACATCATGTAAACTCCTTGCAGACCCCACCAACCCTGTCTCAACACCACATTGCCTTCCATCAATTTGCAGTGGTACCACCAGTTGGGTGGGGGATGGCAGTGCCGAGCTCAGCGTTTGGCAGCCCAACGCTGTCATTTATGCACCGCCTTGCTCCTTGGCTGCAATGATGGTGTGCTGTGCGCAGAAATGGCACACAACGCAGGACTGCAATGATGTGTGGCTTTACCTCCCACAAACTTTGTTTTGTTGGCGCGAGCAACGCAGTGAAGTAACACTTCAGCTTATGTGTTCTTACCACAGAGTAATCGCAACCGACAGCCCTGCAGCCTCAGCGTAGAATACCTCCCGGCTGCGCTGTGTGCTGATTTCACCAAGTTACCTGCTTGAGCCCTGTGAAGCTTGGACTGCATGGACAGATTATGCTGAAGGGCTGCCCTGCAGCATGCAGGCCAAAATCACTCCTCGGGCGCACCGGTTGACGCCCGATCCTTTCTGTCAGGAACACCCTTGACAGAAGCTGCGCTGCTTTCAATGCCATGTACCGGCATGCATGGCCAGGCTGCATCATCGGCCTGTCTCCAATCAAAGGAACGAAGCCAGCAGCATTCTCAAGGTGGGCGGAAACAGGCATTAGGCTGGGCCCTCGCTGAACGCCTCGGGGCTGTCAATGTGCACCTCACACCAGCGCGCACAAACCAGCAGCTACGGTATCGGCACGTGCACCACTCAACAGCATGAATGGATTGCGCAGCACAGCCTGGTCTGGCTTTTGCCAACCACCTGAACAATGGCTGCAGCAGCGGAGCCTGTTTCAATCAAGGGCACTGCTTGCCACAGCCAGACCTCGCTGCAGCTAGCCACCTGCCTGGTGCGCTACGATGTGCGCCATAATTGCACGAATTATACTTTATGTGGATATATCGTGCTTTTTCAGCGCCACACGCGGCTTAAGGCGGCACCTATTACTCAGCGGTTGCGTTCCAACCGGGGCATCCGAGGAGGACTCAGAGGGCTTGCGGGGAAGCGGTGTTGTTTGTGAGGCTCACATTTAATCATTGAATCTGTTTGTTCCGTTCATCCCTTCCTCGCATTGTACGCGTCTGGTCAAAAGGTTGGTACCCCGTAGTGGCGTTTGCAGGGCGCCTGGCCGCTTGCTTTAGGGACATGCACAGCGCAAATTGTCGAACTCCAAGCACCATTTGCTTTGGTCCTGCTCCATTGCACGCCTGCAGACGCGGGAAACATGGCTCGCCTCGCCGTTGGCATGCTGGCGCTGCTGGCGTTTGGCTGCCTGGCCCACCAGGCCGCCGCAGTGAACGGCGGATCAGGCTGTCAGGTGTGGATTTGTGGCTCAACAATAGGAGATTGTCGGATGATAAGAGCCCAGTTGGCACGGCCGTTGCTGTGCCCTCCAACTAGGCAGCCATCAGATCGCGCGTTGCGACAGCTGCAGACGCGGGGCGCGCCACCAAAGGCAGCCCAAGGGATGCAGCGCGGCGATGCTCATGCTGCATGCGATGCCAGCCAGTGTGCGAGATCATGGGGACGACGCCGGCGGGCTGCGCGGTCAGTATTGAGATGGCCATCCTCAAGCTAAGCATCCCCCCTCGGCCCTCCTCCCTCCCCCAAACCTCCTCCCGCGCCCGCAGTACATCGACCGCCGCGAGCTGGCCCTGAAGCTGACCAACAACGGCGTGCCGCCGACCCCGGCCGTGTACTTTGCCTTCCTGAACCAGCTCGCGAGGACCAACAACTGGGTCTGCAAGACTTGCGGGACCGGCACACAGAAGGTCAACACCGCGGCGCCCGTCGACATCGGCCTGATCGCCCCCGGCTTCGGCCAGTGCAGTGAGTCGCGGGCGCCTCGCACGGGCGCATTGGCGCCGCAGTCCGCACCGCTCGGCCGCGCTTTGGTTGACGGGTAGCACGCGCCGTGTTCCCCCAAAATCAACGCCATGTTGTTGTAGTGACTGAGATTTGGACGCGTCTCACCTTGCATCCTATATTGCCTCTCGACGTGCACAGCCTGCGCATCGGGCTTCGGCGCCTTCAGCTACAGGATCGATGTGAGGGCCACAATACTGCAACAGCCGCATGCGGCAATGGCGACAGCCAGCGCTCGGCGCAGCTTCATGCATCAAAAACGTGTCCGGCTGCACCGCCGCAAGGCAGGCGCTGCTTGGTCGCGAAGCATTGTCCCAAGCTTGTACAGTTGGTACATGCGGTCTTCCCCCGCCTCAAACCCCTCCCCATCTTCACCCGCTGTGCTCCGCAGCAAACCTCGACCACCACCCCCCTGGTGGTCGCCAACCCCGGCAAGCTGATCCAGGGCATCGGCTGCACCAAGTGCCCCACTGGTCAGAAGGGCCCCAACACATACGACGGGACCACCACCGCAGCGGCCCTCCTCATCGGCCCCTACGCCCCCGCCTCCAACACCTGGACTGGCACCAGGTGTACTTGCACCGTCACCGCCACCGGCGCGGCGTGCTAGACGCCGCGAGCGCTCCACTTTGGCATATGCTGTGCTGTTCACAAGGCAGTTGGCGGTAGCAGGTGCCCTCGCGGCTCAGCGCGGAAAGGTTGTCCGGCAGCCCCGCCCCTGGGGCCTAGATGGGCGCCAGTGCACTTGTTTCATCACCGGCGCCATGAACGCCGGCTACGAGCCCAAGTATTCATCATGGGTTGAGAACCCCACGAAACACACAAAACCCGTACTGCAAGCAAGTCGTGTACGGCATCGTTGAGGAAGGGCCCTGTTTAATTAATTACCCTGGGAGAACCTTTGAAAATCCCTGAAAATCCCCTATGGAAAAGGGTTTTACAAATTCTTCTTGGTTTTTAAGAACCCCTCTCGGTCCCTACAACCCTTCTTGGCTGCAGCGCATGGGCCCCTGCGGCATGCGCTGCGCTGCTACACACGATTTACTGCCCAGTCAAAACTGTCGCACCACCATCCAGTGGTCGTCAATTCACCCATGCACATCAGCTCATTGCATGCGAATCTATCTAAGAGACGGCCGCAAGAGTAATACTGTATGTGTCAAGTTGGCTTTTGGGGACTTGCTTGTTGCACAGGTCGAGCTTGGAAAACCAAAGGAAAGGCTCATGCACGCATGGCGCTGACTGACACTGCTGCACCATTATTCCCTCTGCTGACTGTGGGGTGGCTGGCAGTACCCAAAGAAGCGCACTCAGCAGTCAACCCAGATGCCTTTACAAATAAAACAGGCGTTCAGACGTCAAATGTGCTAGCTGCTGCACGAACGAACATTAACGATTCTGCTGTCAGTCATACATGTGTGTGATTGCGTGCCGCCATGCGCCTGCAGCCACACGGGTTCCATGTTTCACATTACACACTACAAAATTCACAGGGGATGCGTGTCTGGATTTGGTGCTAGGCTCCAGCCTCTTGTGTCAGCTTGAACTGGGATCTTTCTTGTCAATACCAAAACAACACATGAAGGTGACCAGGGCAGGCCATGGATTGCTCAGTTGACAACATCTCTGCCACGTGCGCCGCGAATATCTGGGCAGACTTCCCCAGCCTTCCAGTGCAGCTCTCAATGGCAACATCATAGCTTATCTTGCACCCTACAATCGCACTGCAGCTGCCTCAGCATTGGCCACTCCTGCCTACCCAGCTGAAAGCCCAGTTAGGGGCTCAAACCCTGAACCCCGAGCTTGATGTATTGTGAATCTTGAAATATGTAATGTACCATCCACTACAGGACCCAAGCAAGCGGCACCTCTGTGTTGTACACGCCAATTCCTGAGGCACAGTGTTGAGCTTCAGGGGCAATGACTCATACCTTACTGACTCGTACGTTGTACTCTCAACCGGCAGCACAGTCAAGACCAAATCAAAACACACGGCAAACCCGGACCAAAACAAACCAATATTGGCTGCTGTGCGGCAGGTCTGCCCTCTAGCCATATCATGCACTCCAGCGGCAGCAGGAATGAAGGCACAACAGAAACCTTGCATCAGCAAAGCATCAGGCTTAAAACACAAAGCCACCTGCGTGAATGTGAAAACCAATCCTTGTAAAACTGCAGAGTCGTCCTCAAAGCGTAGCAGCAACCTGCGTACAAAAGCAGGACTGCACCCCGCCCTCAACGTGAACCTCAGTGCTGCTGGCTTTCGGCGGCCCCCCAGCGAAGTCAATGCGCCGCCCGCCACTCTCCCACGCGGCGCCTTGTGTCGTCGTCTGCCGTGAGCTTGCGGCTGGCAATGCGGGCACGGCCCCCGGGGAATGACGTGTTTCCCAGCATCAGCCAGGTCTGTGCGAGGGCATGGCACGGTGTTGCAAGCGCCCATGTGAGTATGGCGAGCAGGGCATGACATTGCATGCATTCATGCACATGATACACCCACCACACGTACAATCACGCGTGCAAGCTGCCAATCCTGACTGGCGGCTCAACAACAAACGTTGAACCCCCACACACCGACCCACCTCGATTGCCTCCCGCTCATAGCAGCGCCCATCACTGGCCCTGACAGGGTCCAGGAACAGCTCCCCTGAAGAAATGACAGAAAATGCGGCAAGTTGGAGAGAAAACGGCAAGGATGCGCCAGGGCAATGATGCAAAGGGCGTCTGATGCGACAGTGGCACGCAGGCGGAGCCTTTACGGGCAGGTGGCGAGTCATGCACAGTCCTGCGCCTGCCCAGCAGCTGCCGCAAGATAGGGGGCTTGAGGGACACAGCGGCGCTCGCGGGCGAGCAGGGGCCTGGTGTGTCCCCTTGACGACAATCGTCCCTCCTGTCCCACATTGGCAGGACGGTGCGCGCACCCGTGATGGGGCAGACCAGGTCCTCTGGCGGCTCCTGGGCGGTCGCCGGCGGTGCAGGCGCTGCCTCAGCAGGCGCCGCCAGTGCAAGTGCTGGGACTGGGACCTCCGCAGCCTGCGGGGGCTGGGGTGTCGCCGCGCCCTGGCCATGCTCTGAAGCGGACAGCACTGCTGCCGTCCTCTCCGAAGCTGGCTGCTGTGCCTGCTTCTGGCTGGACTGCAGCTCTTGTTGCTGCTCTGGCTCGTTTGGCTGCTGCTCTTGTGCCTGCGTGTGCCCCTGCAGCCGTGCGGCAGCTCGCTGCAGCCCCTCCTCATCCCGCTGCTGCTGCTGCTGCTGCTGCTGCTGCCGCTGCTGCGGCGGCAGCGGCTTACCAGCCGTCTGCTCAACTGCGGCGACCGACTGCTGCGCATGCGCCTGCTTCTGGCGGGGCGGCGGCGCCAGGGCGGGCACCTCCGCCGCCCCGACGGCCACCGCCCGGGGCGGGGATGCGAGCGCTGGCAGCCACGGCCCAGCCTTGGCATCTGATCCAGGGGCCTGTGCAGCCGCGGGCACGGTATGAGCGGGCCCGGCAGCAACAGCCACAGCCTCCTGCTCCCACGCCGCCTTAATCCACCCCGCCCGCCGCTCCGGCGACGCCGAGCCGCCGTGCGGCCCGTCGCCAGCAGGCTTCTTGGCACGCCTCCCCAGGGCCGCGGCCGCGGCGGCTGCGCCGGCGCCGGCGCTGCCGCGAGCCTTCTTGGGGCAGGCGTTGATGGTGGCGCGGTTGACGGCCTCCTGCAGCGCCACCGTCGGATCCAGCACCTCGGCTGCCTCGGACCTGCCATCACATCGCATGCCATCACGACGCGCCGGAGAATCAGCAGCCTGACAAGCCTCATCCGAAACAAAAAAACCGCATGCACAGCCCTTGCGCTGCATCGAGGGGCTCGTCGCGCTGCAGAACCCCCGCCCAGCCTGGAACGCGTTGGTCAGGCGTTGCTGGACCGCACCCACCGCCCCAGGTCGAACGCGATCGTGTATGCCGTCTTCCCGTAGCCGTCTGGGATACGTCGCGGGTCGCGCAGTCGGTGGTCAGAGCCAGCCGTCAGCTCCAATAGCTTGGCGTGGGCTTTGAGCAGCAGCCGGATGATGGTGACGTCACCCTGGGGTGGGATTTTGGGCGAAACAGGGACAAGTTTGGAAGGAGGTTGTGCGTGTGAGTGGTGCAGTCTTGCAGGTGCCAGCCGCCTGAGCTGCTCTGCACCAAATTGTAAGTAGCAGGTCAGTGGCACGCACCCCAAAAAAGCAGGCGGGGCCGGTGCATCCCTCGGCCAAGATGTCGAGGTCATTCGTGCACGCCACCCACCTTCATTGCCGCCAGGTGGAGGGGCGTGCTGCCTTTGTTGCATGAGACGTCCCCCATGCTGTCGCCGCTCGCACCCGCCTGCCGGCACAGGTGTGCATGCAAGTTGGGTCGGCGACTGGTGCGCGGCGTGCCAACTCGCACGCCACAGAGATTATGATGCACACAGGGCTGCTCCATCATCCAGGCGCGCAAAAGCGTGCGGGTAGCATTGGCACGCCGAAAGCCGCTGTTCCCCTCGGATTCCGAGTCACCGCTCGTCCCTCCTGCCAGCCACCCACCGCGAGGTATGCGCCCGCATTGACCAGATCTCGCAGCACGCCGCCGTGGCCCCGCCAGCATGCGAAGTGGGCGGGCGTCAGCCCGGTCAGGTTGACCGAGTTGACAAGGCGGCGCGCGTCTGGCAGGTCCGGGGACTCCTCGTTGTCCGCGTGGGCGAGGAGCAGCTTCACGCACGCGATGTCACCCTTGATTTGCATAACATGCGGGTAATTGTCAGGCAGGAGGAGCGATTCATAGATAGCCAGGGGACTGCATCATATCAGTGATTGGCCGGCGCCCCCATTGAGTACTGTGGGCTGTGCAATAGGCCCTCCTGGTGATGAATCCGGAACGGTCGAGTGCTAGCTTAGAGAGCACACGCCTGGGCTCGAGCAAAACGTGCGCACCTGCCACACCGCCATGTGCAGCGCGGTATTGCCGCGGATCTCTCCGCGCCACGCGTCCACGCCGCACGACAGGAGCGCCGCCACCGCAGCCGAGTGGCCCCCCTGCACGGCCACCATTAGGGCAGTCTTACCTAGACGGCCAGGGGATGAGAGGCGGTATGAGTGGGTATGATTGCGCAAGGTGGAACGCGTGTTGGTTGCATGAGAATCGGACAGCATGCGCATGGCAGCCTTCGTCTTGTAAAGCAGGCGGCATGCTTGCCCCAGCCTATAAAATGGGATGGCTGCCACATATGCCACCCCGCTGCAACACCTCAATGACCATACCAACAGCTGCTCGAGCAACAGCAACCACAGCCCCCCCCCCACCTTCGCGTGTCTGAGCGTCCTTGTCAATGTTGCGACCCATCGGAATCGCGATCTGGGAGGGGATCGCGGCAGTTGTCGCCGCTGCGATGTGGTTGACCGCGAGGTTGACCGTGTTGAAGCCCGCGTTGACCTGCAGAGGCATGAAATGCGTGTGCGGGCACATTTCCACCCCAGCATGCTGTGGGCCAGCGAGACACGCCGCAGGTGCAGCTGCTGTGGGCAGAGGTGGCCGGCTCAGTAGTTCACCAAGCAGCAGCACTGCGCGGCATGAGCTGATGCCCAGCCCATCTTAATGTTACTGTGCTTGGCCTGCAGCTGTCGCGGCCACAATCAGAGGTCTCAAGTCGCAGGCCCCCTCCTCCTGCCCACGCCCACCTGCGCGAGCATCTTGTCCTGCTTTTTCTGGTGGGACAGAACCTCAGACACCGCCGCTGCCACCATATTCACCACCTGCAGTCAAGCCAAAATCCACGCGCCGGGCCGTTGTCACCTTGATGATTGGGCGCCACTATCAAGCCTCAACTTAATGGGGGGCGTCTGCACCACTTGACGACGGGTCGAAGGCGGCACAGTGCTCCGCAGCAGGCTGCGCTGCGCGCACGCCTGCACGACCAGCCCGCCCCGGTGCGCACACCTGCGGGTCGCCACTCTGTGCTGCCAGGTGCCACACATTCAGGCCGTCCTTTGAGTGGACGTAAATTAGGCTGGGATTGGCCTGCGAGTGGAGGCGGCCGTGGCGACGGGGGCAGTCAAACTGATAGGCCGGTGCGCTGCTGGTCGAATAGCGCACCGGCTCACTTCGGCGCTTGCCAGCAGCTGGCCTGCACGCATGGCGGGCAAGGGCAGCGCGGCGATCACTCCCGAGCAGCACTGCAGGGACACGATCGGGGCAGCGGTGAAGTGCTGCATCTGCACCATCATGCTGCTGTATGGCGCTCGCCGCACCTCCAGCAGGGCGCGTGCATCCTCGGTGCTGCCAGCGCTGATCGCTATCATCATTTTTGATTCCTCCTCACGACTAAGCCGAGCGTCTGACTGAGCCTGCCCCATGGCTGTGCGTCGGCCCTACTCTGGCAGCTAGGGGAGGCAGGCAGCTTGGTCAAAGCTGGTAATCAGGGCCACGTTGTGATTGATGTAACACTGGTTTACGTCGGGCACTCCGCCGTTTATCGTATCAAGGTTCCCAGGAGTGCTGGCTCACTTGCGGTGTACGGTACGGTATTCATTTGAACAGAAAACGCTTTTGATCACCTCGCCGCGATGAGAAGGGACATTAGGATATGATATTATATTATGCAAGTGCTATGGAAGGTCCTTGAAGCTATAGTACACGCCCGGCCCAGCCTGAAGATCGTAAGGTACCGCTGGGCCACATTAATGGACCCATTGCTTTGATGAATCCAAGTATCAAAATTTCCAGGAGATGGAGAGTTCCGGTGCACGTATGTTCATGTATCGGCACGACAGCTGATCGCGGCCGTTTGTCTTGATGCAGGGCCGTCGTGCGCACTCGGAACATTCAGGATTGAGGAGGCGGGGGCGCCGCCTGATGTGGGATCCGGACCGTTCGGCTGTGATGTGGAGGTGTAGTTTGAGGCGGCCCGCGGGCATGCATGGGCGTGGGCGTGACATTGCGCCCCGCCCTGGGCAGCTGTTGTGGCCGACGCACATCTGGGCGTGTCAGTAAGGCAGAGGGCACACTGGCATCATGAACGCAGGTGTGGCTAGGAGGCAGGCCCTGGCGGCGGGTGGCGCTACGCGAGAGCACCACACCGCAGCGGCGTTTGCCGCGGGGGCGGGAATCCTGGTTGGTGCGCAGCGCGTGCATCTGGGGAGCCTGGCGCAGCTGGTTGCGCCTGCGCTTCTCGTGCGCCACAGCGCATGATAGCAGTGGAGTTGGTATTGGCGGCGCCCCTCTGGGCTCAGCGGAAGGGGTGCTGGCCATCGGACAGCTCACTGACGGCCTGGCCAGTATTGGTGGTGGCGGCTTGGTTGCTGGGCCAGCTGCTCCAAGGATGTTGGCGCCTGGGGCTCCGGCTGGCTTGCTGGAGATGGCGCGTGGCGTCGGAGTAGCTGATACACCAGGTGGTGGCGTCGCGCGCGGCCTTGAGCACCGGCCTGGTGAGTCAGGTCTTGTGGCTGCGCACTGTGGCGGCAAACGTCCAGCCACGAGCGGGTGCGGTTCCAGCGGTGCCGCGGCCGCGCCTTCGTTGCAGCCTGTCGCGGCTGCTGGCGGTGTGTTGTGCGCGCCACGCGTCGCCGCAGTTGTTGTGGCTGGGTCTGCGGCTGATGGCCTAGCGCTGCAGCGGCTGCGGACGCACCTGCTCATGGTTGTGGCGGGTGATGTCACGATCCTAGGCTGTATACCTGCGTGTGCTGGGCACGAGGTGGTGGCGGCCAGCATTTGTGGCGCTGCGGGCGATGTCGGGGGTGGCTGCCGCCATGCTGGTGTGCGTGCTGGGGGGTGGACACACCTGAGGCGACAATGCTCGCAGGTGCCCTGCGCGAGGCCTTTGGGGTGCGACCCTGTGGTCTGCGGTGGGTTGCCACTCGACAGCAAGCGGCGGGGCGGCGCGGGCAGCAGCTGGAGCGTGTGCCCTGGCTTGGGCACGACTTCTCCATTTCTGGCCATCTGTGCGAACTCGCCTGGGTGGCGGCGCACCCTGCTGCTGCGCCTGCATCGGGGGTTGCCGTGGTTGTGATCAGCAGCAGCAGCAGCAGCAGCAGCAGCAGTCGCAGTCAGTGACAGCAGCGGTGGTGGCAGCGCTGATGGCGGCCATTGCAACAGTGATGACGGTGAGTGAGGCAGGAGGGTTGCAAGCAGGCTGGGGATCCTCGCTTGCGCAGTTGCAGGTTGTAAGTCATGCTTGGGCCAAAATGGTTTTCTGGGGCCGCAGCGCGTGCCTGTCATTTCGACTGCGATGCTGCGTTGTGCTCGGTGTCCTTTCGTAGGTGGTGGCGCTGCGGCGCCTGGCATGAATGATGAGGCGCTGCGTTGCGCCGCGTCCAGGGGCGCACGGCTGCACACTGTCGTCACGTGAAGGGGCCACCGCCTGCTGTGCAGTGCGGAGCAGCCAAACAAGGTGCAGGCGGTGCATGGGCTGGCTGTGGTGGACGGTTTGCTGGGTGGCGGCGGCAGTGACCATAGCAGTGGTGGTGGGGCCAGCAGCAGCAATGGCTGCAAGCGTGGGGCTGGGGTGGCTGTCGCTGGGTGGTGTTGGAGGCACGCAATGGCTGCGGCGAGACGGCGTTGAACTCGGCAGCGGTGGCAGCAGCTCTGGCGCAGAACGCGCGTGTCACCATGATGGTCCTCAGCCGCACGGTCCAGGAGGTGCGGCAGAACATTGCGTCCTGGCAGGGTCTGCACACTGGTGTATGGGCTGCGGTGGTCGTCGGCCGCCGGGCCCCGTGTGAGCACGACGCCGTGTGCCATTTGCCGCCTGCTGCGCTGAACGACCGGTGCGGCAGCACGTGCGCAGCGGGCAGCTGCCCAGATGCCGCCGGCGCCGGTGCTGCGGTTGGCCGCCACGACATTGAGGACTGCCGCAGCTGCAGCAGCGCGCGCCAAGGGAACGCCTGCTTGGGTTTTGGCGCCAAGCAGGTGATGAGTTGCACGCAGGTGTTTGTGCTGCAACCTTGAGTGCATTTGTGTGTCTTTTCTGTTGATGGGTGTGTGTGGTTTGGGGTGCATGCTTGAGGTGGTGTGTAGTTAATGAATACCAGTAGTTTGTTTTGTGGGTAACTGTTCGCAGCAAAAAAGCCCGGGTGCTGCATGGCGCTAGATAGTGCTGTTAAATGTCAACTGATCGATTCGCGCATTGGATTGCAGGTGATGAGCGCCGAGAGGCGCGGCGACCCAATCATTGTGTCTGCAACGTTCGTGGGGCGCTGCTCCCGGACCACTTCAAGTCGCGCTGCGGTCTGCGGGTCGGCGGCGACAACAAACTCACAATGGTTTCGGACGAGGTGAAGGTGCAGTGGGCAATCCAGATCGCCCTGTAGGTTGGCAGCGCGTGCTGGTGGCTCTGCTTGACGGATGGCCTCGGCGCACAGCTGCGCGCGTTCGTCGTGCAGCAGGTGCGTGGCCTTGCACCAGCGCTCTGGAGCTGCGACTCCGCTGTGGCCGCTTGTGAGATGCGCTGAGGCGTTGGGGCGCCGTGGCTGCCTGCCTATGCGGACCTGCGGGCCGCGCCGCGCGACGCATTGGCCTTGGCGCATTGCTTTGTTGCTTTGGCGTGCTGCAGCGCGACAGCGATAGCTTTTGACAAATCGGGTTCAGCCTCGGTAACGCCCTCAGCGAGTAATGCGGCAGGGCGCGGCGGCTGAAAAGCGCGTCGCGCTGTGTGTGGCGCTGGACCTGCTCAGGCTGCTGCAAGGGCTGGGTGAACGGCGGCGAGCTGTCACGTTTGCAGCAGCAGGTGTGGTAAGCTTGGCGGATGTTGCCTTTAGCGTGCCCGCCCCGGGATGCCTGCAGCAGCCCCTTTGAGGGCGGTGCCGACCATTTGGCTGCGACGGTCTCAGACAGGCTCATTGCTTTGGCGCGACACGAGGTTGTGGGGTCCACCGTTTGAGGCTGGAGAGTGCAAGGGCTGGGTGGTGCAGGCCACGTGATGTGCCTGTGGGTTCGCTTGATTTGTGCTGATGTGTCTTGCGGCAGCGTGGATGAGCACGTCGATGTGAGGAGTGGTTGCGTCAGCCGCCGATGTGGCGTATTGCAGGTTTCAATGTTGCTTTGGTTTGCTGCATGCATTATGCACGCTCGTGGGCTTGTCGCAGCGTGTATGTGCACGTTGTTGTATGGTGTGCTTGCGTCGGTCGCTGATGCGGCGTATTGCACGCACAGATGTTGTGTGTTGTGTGTTGTGTTTGTGTAATGGGGGTTCAGTTGATCTGTGCTGCCAGGCAGGTATGAATGCTTCACACAAAGCAATTTGAGAGAGCATACCATACTGTACACCAGTGGCCAGAGTGGGTGTGTGCCACTGACAGCGCCTTGGGCTTGATGAAGGGCGTCGCGCACAGTCATGCAGCACATGCTCAGCAAGGACACGCTGCGTGGAGAAGCCAGGCAAAGCAGCTGCAGCAACCAGAAATCAGCCGCCTGCTGGAGACAATGTGCATGCCTGTCATGGGGGTACTTGTAGAGTTGTTGGTAGCAGGCTGCATGCATGTGCTAGTAGTCGAGTCGCGATGCGCTCATGCTGCTACAGTTTCTGCTGTACGTGGAGGGTGCACTAGATGATGTGGTGAGCCAACACACAGGTAATTGACATTTCTACATCACCGCCAGTGGATACGCCAGTGGATATGCATCTATCTGGCGACCCACAAAAGGGCGAATGGATTTCAGCTTTCATGTGCATTGTGCTTATCAGTTGCAGCACCAAGTTGTTGTGATGGTTACGCTGTCGGCACGGCGGGCTTTGACAGGGCTGTCAGATTGAAGCAAGCGCGCTGATGTGCTGGCTGGGGATTATTACAAAGTATAGTTGCCTGCATCCCACTGCTGGCGCCATCTTGTGGCAGATCCTTTGCGCTCGAAAAAGTGTGTGTTGTGGTGCTGCACATCGATCAGATAAACACATATGTGTTGGCACGTGCGGGGGAAGGGGGCAGGCCTTGGCTTGAGCGTTTGTCCCAGCCCTGCATCGCCTATGGTGCGCTCACTCCTGCAGTTTCGAACATGCCACAGTTGCACACATATTGCATACGGTCCAAGATACATCGCTGCTCTGGCTTCACCGTTGCTTGCAAGGTGCTGAAACATGGAGAACAATAGAAGAAATCACTCACAGCAACGCAGTGTGGACTGTAGCATAGCAAACAATGATAAAACTCCTATCATATGCTATTCAAAGTCCTACCAAAATCAGTCAATAGGCAGCTGCGATTACCGCAAAGCCCAGGTCTCAGGCCCCTTCACGCCGTCTGCCATTGCCAGCGTCGCAGCGAGCTCACACACCGTTCTGAGTCGCGCGCAGGTGGCGGCCATACTGGCGCCTGGGGTGCTTGGTGGGCTTGTTGGGCTTGAGTTTGGGTAAGTAGGGCGGCCGGGGGCCACCAGAATCGCGCTCGAGGGACTGGAGTGACGGCGCGCTATCGTCTTCAACTTGAAGCAGGCGACGGCCCCCAGTAGTCTCGATGGGCGCGGCGGCAGGGAGCGGCTTGGCGGCGGCGTTGGCGGCCTGGGACAGCAGCAGGCGGCCCTTGGGGATCGCGGTGGTGGAGGCAGGGGAGGAGTAAGAGGAACGCCTTGGCGGCAGCGAGGTGGATTTGGGCGGGATGGGGGCACTTGGGCTCCAAGGCTAACGCTGCGGTCACGTTTGCTGCTAACGCCGCGGCAGACAGCTCGGCGGTCACCTTGTTTGGGTTTGCGGCGTCTACCACCACCAGCAGGGCCGCCACCAGCAGGAGGGCAAGGGCTGAGCGCTGCATGTTACTTGGCGTCACCTTCATTGGCGCCACGGCGAGAGGCAAGTGTGAAAGTCCGGATGGGCCAGGGAGCTGCCAGCTGCAGCGCCAGACGGTTTGAGGGTGGCAACAGGTTCTGCAGGGCATGCAATTTGATAGCTGCGCGCTGAGAGAACCCGCAGTGCACAGGTATTAGCTGAGGACAGCGGACAGGGAGTGGCGGGCGGGCTGAATCTGACGCAATCACGCTGACTGTGCCCACCTGGGTAATCCGCTGTTGATGTGTCGCAGACAACAGAAACGAGTTATGCAGCAGATCACAGCAACGCAATCATAGCGCTCATCGTTTGGGCCGGCTGGTCCCTGTCGTCATGCGGTGTCACGAAGCTGTACAAGCTGTCGCTCGGGAATCTGACCAAAGGTGCGCTCTGGAAAAGTAGGAAAATCAAACTGCACCTATTGCCAATTACAGCTCCGGCCCCACACATGGCTCAAGCGGCACCCTGTCCTTCCTTATGTTGACATACGGCAGCGTTCCAAAGGTTCAAAGATGCCCCCAAGCACCCTGCCTGATCAGCAGCCCAACGGCATGAGTGAGCGCCATCTTGAAATTCTTGCAGGGCGCAGCACCAGGACCCACCTGTAATGACATTGGCATGCTGAAGAGCCAAGGCCCGCGCAGTCACCTAAACCAGGGGTGGGGTCGCTGGGGCAGAACTCGAAGCTGCTCAGCCATTCGTAACTGGCGGTACTGTTGGAGGGCTTCCTGCCCAAAAGGTCGATGCTGGTTGGAGGTGTGTTTCATAATGTGAGGTGGGTCTGGCGCAGAGTGTGGGCCTGTCAGAAAGGGGCCGGCGGACGACGGGTGCTTTGCCTGAGGCATCAGGCGAAATTGCGGCCCGACAAAAGAGGATGTTTGTTACTTTGATGCTGTGAGCAGACTGCAAGACGCATGAGTTACCGCGAGAGCAACTGGGTGGATGAAAACAACCCGAAGACTTGTCTGTTTGCTGCCGCCGCATCGGGTGGCCGCTGGCTGTAGTAACCTGGGTCGGTCAATTGGAACTCCCAGTCGCACAGAGAGCGAGCACAGGACCTTATCATAGCATTTTCCCGCTTGTACTTGGAGCCGCACAGGCAATGCCAGGAATGGAGAGGAGGCCAATCGCCGCAGGGTATCACATGCACGTGTATTGCCTTTGCCCTTGCAAACAGCTGCCAGAAATGCACGCTTCCAATCCACACGGGCCTTGCGCACCCGCCAGACTTGGCAGATCAAGTGTTGAAGGTAGCACGGGCTAGTGAGGCCTTCAATATCAGCGCAGCGTTGCCATCTGCTCCAGGGGCGGCCGAATTTTGCAGCCTGCCCAATATGATCTGAACCTCCACCAGCGTTGGCTCAGTGACCATCTGCTCTGCTGACTGCTTGGCCTGGGCGGCCGTTTCGCGAGGGGGGGGGGGCGGCTTGGCGTGTCGCGCCGCTGACGCAGGAGGGCGGGAGGACGCTGGGGGGGCGAAAACATGGAGAGCGCTGCTTGGGCTTCATCAGAGAGCTGCTTGTCCGCGCGGCTGCGAGTGGTGACAGCCAGCAGTCCCACAGCCGCAGCACGGCTTGGACTCATTGACCCGGCTGGCTTGGACACATTGGGTGCATGACAAAGTCATACATGCTTTGTATTCACACTGTCAATACGTCCGAGGACTGTGCAAAGCACTCCGGTGTGCTGTTACGGTCCGATTGGGCTGGCTTCTGGGTGGGCATCTTTGAATCTTGGGCTGGCTTCTACAGGTCAGCACAACGACGGAAACAGTTCGGCCATGTGCACGGCTGCTGCAGAGCCAGCGATGCGTTAAACTTCAAGCTGAACCCTCTCGTTTTTAAATGCGCCATGTGGCTCTGACCAAACACGCAAAGGCCAGGTGCAGCTTCGCGTGACAACAAGCGGGAACCTGCTGGCCCAAAACGACCCACAAATGAACAAATAGTTTGCCGTGAGCACAAATCAACCCACAACTTTATTCTGAATTACACTGAACCCGTACACGAGACATATAATCAAAGGTGGGCACAGGCAGAGTGTGGTGGTCAGCTTGACCCGAAGCGCCAGCATACGTCGCCCACCAGGGCCTCAGCCAACGCCACAGCCACGGGTGCGCTTAGCCATCGTCCTGTTGTTAGGCGGGTCTGAAAAAATCTATTACCAACAAGATCGCATCCGTCGCTGCAGATGACACTGCCCTGACATAACGCCCAACCCCACATCTGGCCGTAACAATGTGCAGACCAGAGTGACGTCGCCCAATATGCGCCCAGCCCTTGCCCTCCTGCTGGGGGCGGCCCTGCTGCTCGCGGTCGATGCCGTTGCCCCCAACAAGGCAGCTGCCCAGCCGCCCGCTGCTGCTGCGGTCAACGCGACAGCAACCCGCGCTGTGGAGCCCAAGCACCCTTCTGCTACGGCCCTCAGCGCTTACGGCGGTGCTGCGATGAAGGCGTCCGAGCCCAAGGTGCCAGCCAAGGCGTCCCCCAGGACCTCTCCATCTGCCGTCGAAGACAAGCTCAAGGGCCGCCTGCTGCTGTCCCAGCCCTCCACCACCGACGCTGGGCCTGCACCCGCGACCGTCAAGCCCCCATCTGCCTCAATGTCCCCCACCACGGCGGCGCAGACCACGCTGAGCCCCAAGCATTCCCCCACCGCGGCGGTGCACTTCAAGCCAAAGCCCAAGCACTCCCCAGCCGCCGCCCCCCCAGACAACGCGAGCGAGGGCCGCCACCTGCTGCAAGACATCCCTGAGGCCACGACGCAACCTCCCACGACCAAGCCGGCCAACCGCCCCGCTTACTTGCCCCACAAGAAGCCTGTCAAACGCCCAGAGCACCACTATGGCCGCCGACTGCGCTCCTCCTGGATGGGTGCATGAGCACAGTGTGTGCCCGGGGTGCAGAGCGCCGAAGAGGGGCCCGCAACCTGAGTTGATGCACGCCAGCCGCCTGTCATTTCATAATGATTGCTTGTTGGGAACACCCTGGCTGCATGTGAACACGGCGTTGCACATCATTGCATCGTGCCACCTTCATACAAGCACCCGTGCAGCCGCACATCTTCGCCGATGTGTTGCTTGCGCGCCGGTGTGCATTCTGCACTGTGATTGTGCGCACGTGATGCATGCGATGCGCGCAAGCTAGGATGCAAGGGCTGCTTCTGGATGCAAGCTTGCTGCTAAGACGCCTGGTTGCTTTATTTGCAAACTCAAAGAGGCTGGTCTTGTGTGTGGTGCGTGATCGTTTTTGTCGGCCAGTTGGGGTACTGCAAGTGGTACCAGGTTCCAAGGCCATCATAACCAAGCAAAGCGCACCTGCCCCACGCACTGGGGATTCTGGAGCTTGACAAACCATGAGCGCGATTCACCCCTTGATTGAATCATTTAATACTTGCAAACGGGCATGTCAACCTGACCACCAAGCTCAGGTCGATTTCACATCAGCGATATATGTGCGTTCCTCCCGGATTCTGCTTTGCTGTGCTGTAAACAGTATGGGCATGGCTCTTGCTGGGCAATTTCCAGTGGCAGGCTTTATTCTTCCATACCTCAAGACGTCAAGAACAGCTCGCATGCATGCCAAAATCATACAATTTCAATGGCACTGCAATTTGTCCGCCACGCCAGTACAGCAGTCAAAACGGCGACTGCTGCATGCATGAGGTCTGCCTTCATGGACACCAGCAGGACAGTCACTCGTTAAATCGACTTGTCTTGCAATCTGGCGTGTAGCTCAATATTCCTGTACCGTATGTACTGCACGGTACCCCTTGGTTTGTGGCCACCTGATTTTTCAGGCGCCTTGCTTGTTTCAGGTCCAGTCATATTCGCACAGAGGCGTCGTTCGGCCGTTAAAGCAGCTGCACAAGCACGCAAGGGGCCCAGTGCCATTGTGGTCCTGCCCGCAGCAGCCCCCCTGGCTACTGTAGAACGAAGAGTTTCCCTCAATCCCAGGACGTCATTCAGCCGCAGCTCCACTCAGCGGGCGAAACATGAACGCTGCCGCAGCATTCGCGTTCCTATGAAGTTACTGGTATTAGCTTCGCGTCAACCACACACACAGCGTGCGCAAGAATGGCGGACTCAGACGAAGTAGCAGCTTTGGATCGGATTTTGACGCGCTTGGCTGTCAGTGAGGACGATCAACTGGAAACAGTGCGTCAAATACGTTTGGATACATGGATGACCTGACGCGCTCAGATCATGGCGCTCACATGGATCACCGCGTCATCCCCGCATGCAGACGCTGCAAAAGCTTCTGCCGCTCGTGATCGAGAAGCTCTCGACCCAGAGTGCGCTAGTGAGGGCCAAGGTGCGATCAAGACCCCGCAGAGGCGTGGGCCTGCAAGAGGTGCATTACCGCGTGTTGGCAATCAGGGTGCTGGCCAGAGTGGCGGGGACACCAATCGTCGCCAGGATGAGCAGCCTGTATCTACAATTTTGTGCTGGGTTACTGTCTGGACTTTTGTCTGTAATTGCAGCCTCATACCACCCGGTACGCGTGCTGCAACCTCCCACAAGGTGCTGGAGCTGTTGGGCCATGTCAACAAGCGCCTCAAGGCCGCCCGCTCCATGGGCCTGCCCCTGCTGGCGCTCGCCCGCCTGGCAACTGGCTCGCTCAACCCCATGGTCCGCAGCTTTGGGCTCGTGTACACGGAGATGGCGGTGGACCGCGCGCCGGCGGGCGAGCTGACTAAGGCGGTGAGTGATGGGCGGAGCGGTGTGCTTGGTGGAGGAGGACATTCTTCTGTGTGGTAATCGTCCTCGGGCCCAGGTGGCAGGGCAGGTGGGGTGTCAGGGCAGGCGAAATCGGCAAAGGTGGTCCCCCTCACGCGAAGGCGCAAGGACCCCCTAATGCCCAGCAAGGGGGGTGCAGCTGTCATTAGGAAGCTTCCTATGAGTCCGACCAGGGTGGCAGGCGGCAATCTTCATGTGCTCAAGCGAAATTCAGACAGCAGCGCCGTTTGTGGCAATCAGAGCACTGCCGTCTACGTCACTGTGCCCCAACACGACAACCACGGGCCCCTGCAGCTGCCGCTCCTGCTGGACGGCATCAGCAGCCGTGCGCCGCAGCACGCAGCCATTGCGCTGCGATGCGCAACGGTCGCCTTGACCGCCCTCGGCCCCGCGGGAACAGCGTCTGCGGCATCCGTCACAGCTGCCGCGTCGGGCGTCGCGGGCGGCCCAGCCACCCTGCAGCTGCTGCCGGCGTCGGGCGCTGACAGGGCGGTCCTGTTGGATCATGTGACTAAGCTGTTGCTGTACCAAAGGCCTTCAGGTGAGAAGGTGCTGTCACCGCTGGCGGCTGCGCAGCAGGTGCGCTCAGGAGTCCGCAGATGTGCAGTCGAGTTATCATTGCTGGTGCAGCGGCAGGTGCCGCGTACGTGCAGCTGCTATTCCTGCTGCTGTTGCTGCTGCTGCTGCTGCTGCTGTTGCTGCTGCTGCTGCTGCTGCTGCTGCTGTTCCGGCTGATCCTGTCTTATCTGCTTGGTTGCGTCACTGCATCCCTGCTGCTGGTGTTTCTTATCTGTACTTAACGCCTTCTACCGTTGATTCCCCCCAAATGCAAATTCAATCAAAAGGCCGGCCCTGCACCAACAACCGTTCAGGGCTTGGCAGCCGCAAGCGGGTTGGCCGCGGCCGCGCCAGCTGTCGCGGCCCTGCCGCCCGCCGGCCTGTCGGCTGCTGACATGGCAGCGTTTGAGGAAAAAGGGGTCCCAGATCAATGGGAGCTCGTCCGACGCAAGCTGGGGGCGCTGCAGCTGATTGCTGGCGCCACCGCTGGCAGCCCCGTCCTGTCCAGTGGCGCGGGCGTGGCCGTCAACGGTGGCAGCGGCAGAGCTGGCGGCGGTGCCGCGGCCGAGGCGGGCGGCGGGGACGCCGAAATGGGCGAGGCAGGCGGGGCGGTGCCTGGGGCCAGCGGGTCGGAGACAGTCGCGCCTGCGCCTGAGGCGGCGGCGCTGCTGCAGCCTGCGGAGGTTCTCATCCCACTGTTGGTGGCGGCCTGCGACCCCTCTGAGCCTGTGTCAAGGTGAGCTGCCGCTTGTCATGGTACGGCAGGCAGCTGAATGGGTTTGGGGCCAGCGAAGACTTGAGATGCCGTGCACAGGGTGCCATTTTCCTGTCTGGCAGTGTGCCGGCAAGCGGCTGCCGTGCTTGCCAAGGCATGACGCTTGCTGCCACTCCAAGCTGGACGCGCAGCCGCAAAGCCCCGCGGAGCCTCCCGCCCTGCGGACGATCCGTGTTCGCTCACTGGCCGCCCCGCCCGGCATTCCATCGCGCCCAGGCGCGGCGAGGCGCTGGCGCGGCGCCTGTGCGGCGTGGAGAGCCCGAAGACCAGCGTTGACCTGGAGGACGCTGGGCTGGTGGGGCGCCTCATGGCCCTGGTGCTGGGGGGCGGCGGCGGCGGCGTGGAGGTGCGCGATCTGCCTCCGTGCAGGTGTTGCAACCCTTTGGCGATTGATGGGTTCCGATGGGGTCGCAAAAGGGGGGATCTTTGGCTGGCATGCGCCCGCATTGAATTCTGAACTCACGGCTCAGGGCGGGGGCGTGCAAGTGGGCCGCATTGTGCTTGGGCTGGTGTGCCGTGGTGCCGATGGCATCGTGTGCGCGCTGAAACTGGCGCGTGCTTGCCCATCGCTCTGTGCCCTTCAGGCTGGCAAGGCCGCCACGCCGGTCGGCCCCGCTCTGGCGGCGCGCATCATGCAGGTGCGGGTCCACGGTATCTGCCTGGCAGCTGCGCGATTGGATTGGATTGCGTCAAGGAGTCACTTACAGATTGCGTGGGACGAATTGTGCCTGACCCGCGACACAGAAATTGTGCTGCAACTTACCGTGATGTTTGCGTGGCGTTGGGCGTCTGCGGCACTCTCGCACTGCGCTGAATCGCAATGTGTTGCGCCCCCTTGCCGGGCCCCTCACTCACCGTGTGGCGCACAGCTGCTCGTGCGCTCGGTGGCAGCGGCGCAGCGGTTCCCGGAGAACGCGCGTGTGCTGAGCGTCTGCCTGTATGGCCCGGGTGAGCGCGCTGTCAGGTTCGGCAAGCGCACAGGGGGCTGGAAGCACCTATCATCAAGACTGTGGAAGTTGGCAGTGCCCTGTCCTGGCAAATGTGTGGGGTCCTCGGCACGTGCGCTTTCTAGCCCCCACCAAGCGCTTGTAATATCACAGCATCCCAATTTGACATTGGCGACCCGAACCCCAACCACTTCCGCTGCCTCACCGCCCAGGCGCCCCTAGCTCCGGCGGTGGGCAGGTGCCGCTGGGAGCGCCGTCTGGCGGCGCCACGGGCCGCCTGCGCGCGCTGGGCATGGAGTGGTGCGTCTGGGTGATCAAGCACTCCCCCCAGCACCAGCTCAAGGCCATGGCGCCCTCGCTGCTGGAGCGCCTGCTGCCCGCCACCGGGGGCGGGGGCGCGGCGATCGGAGGCGGGACAGGAGGAGGGGATGCGATGGTACGAATCTGGGCTGAGCTGTTTTTGCGGGGTGCAGGGATGACTTGGAGGGGGTTGGTAGATTGGAAAGACCTGCGTGGGTCGCCTTGGCCAGAACGTTGTCAGCCAACGCCCATCGGCCATCCGCGCCAAGCCAATCTTGACACGGCGCCTCTCGCCCCATTGCCCTGCCCCACTGACCACTCGCCCCCGCCGTGCAGCAAGTGGATGGGCCGAGCGGCGGGGCCGGGGGCGGCCCGCAGGATGCGGCCATGCGGGGCTGGGCCTACCAAGCCGTCGCGGCGCTGGCGCAGCGGCTGCCTGAGCATTTTGAGGTGCTGTCGCTGGGCCAGGGTCCTGAAATGTGTGTGGCACAGGGCAGCAAGCCGTTTTGCACTGTCAGGACGTGCCCGCTTGAGCGTTGACGCTTCATGCAGTGTCCCGGCGCCTGCTCAAGTCCGGAGGTGCTGCTGCGACGGCCTGCTGGACTCCAGAACTTCTGCCGCAATCACGGATGCCAGGTTGCATTTCTTGACTTGCTGGCACCCCAACTCAAACCCCCACTCCCCCCCCCCCCGGGCTGCTGTAGGGGGATGTGGGTGTCGCGCGCCGCTTCTTTGGCGCCCTGGCGTCAGAGCCCGCAGGCAGCCGCTCCGCCCTGCAGGAGGCCGTCAGCAGCCTCGCGGGCGCCTACTCCCTGGCAGCCGCCCGAAGGCGCCAGCGGGCGACGGCTGCCGCCGCGAACGACGGCGGCGTCGCCGGGGCGGCGGGGGACGGGGGTGATGACGACAGGGTGGGGGAGGAGCTGCAGGAGCTGCTGCTGGGCAGTTTGGACAGCGATCAGGCGGCGGTCAGGCTGTGCGCCATACAGGTGTGACGCTGCACGGCTTTGCAGGGGGCCTGCGTGGATATTGTTGTCCTTGTCATCCGCGTGCTGATGTTCCGCCACAGCGACGTGCTGACCGCCTGCGCTAGCATGGTGCCGTTGTGATGTGGCCCTCTTTCTGTCACAGCCGGCCTCGTGATTGCTTGCGCACCTCTGCTTGCGACCTCTCCCCACCTCTCACCTACCATCGTGGCTCACGCCCACCAAACCCTTGAACCCTGATTCACCGTGGGTTGACCCTCATCACCCCTCAAAAATCCTCGCAGTGGTTCACGCGCTTGTTCCCCCCAAGCCACGCCCCCTCGCGCTACGCGTGCTGCCTCGCCGCGGGCGACCCCAAGCCTGAAATTCGGGATGCAGGCCTCCGCGGCCTCGCCCTCGCGCCCGGCGGCGGCGGGTACGGGCCGCAGGCGCTCGGCGGCGGCGCGGGCGGGGCCGGCGGCGGCGGCGGCGCAGGGCAGCTGCTGGCCGCGCTGTACCCAGCCCCGAAGGTCAGGGGGCTCCCCACCCTTGTTATTGCGCTTCCATTCTCATCATCCTGTACATGTCATCTCTCTTTGCCTGTTCCTGCATGTTGTGACCTACACAGCTGCCTTGCGCACACACGCCGGTGTCCCAAAATCATCCCAAGCCCTGTTTCGTCCTCGTGCCGCGGCCGGACCTGCAGGCGCTGCTGGCGGTTGCCGTGTCGAAGCACCCCGGGCTGTCAGGGGCTGCGGACCCGAACCGGCCCCTGCCGATGAATGACAGGGCGCTTGAGGCGCTGGTGGCCTTCCTTGGCTGCTGCAGGTGAGGTATAGCGATGCTTTGTCGTGTTGTCTTGGGTTGGATCAACAACAGGGTGCTGCAGCTGAAGAATCGCAGGCAACTGGGAGTGCGGCTTGGCGCGGGCGATTGATGACATCACCGTTGCTGCCGGCGGCGTTCGCTCGCGCAGTCGCACTGCCAGTTGCCCGCACTCAAGCAACAGGATCCCCCTCCATGTCCACCAGCAACTTGATTGCATCTCATGCTGCGTTATTCGTCTGCTCATGGCAATGTCCAACAGCCGTCCTAGTATCGGTTTCCACATCATGCGCCGCCTGATCCCTTTGCCCGCTGCCGTATTGCCAGGGTGACCGCCGCCGCGCGGTCCGTCGCGGGAGGCGGCGCGCAGGCCGGCGACGACGCTGACGAGGCGTATGCGCTGCTGCTAGAGCACGCCGCCTGCCGCGCCGCGCCCCGCGCGCTTCTGTCCGC